TGCTGCTGTTTTAGTAGATTTAATCTAGAAACTAAATGATAAAGTAAGTTGTGCATGAAGAAGCCATTGCTGGCGTGTTAGCTGACTTTAAAATCTAAAACTACGTATCTTTACCGACTATCCTTAGATCTGTTGTGTATTATGCTCATCTACTTTTCTAAGGCATCTGTATTTGGAAGTGCATGGAACTCTAAAGTAAATAAGGTATAGAATGGGAAAATCAGATGAATTTTAAAAAAATGAAACCTGGTAGTTGCGAATTGAGTTTTCAGAATGGAAGTCTACATCATCAGCCCTTTCCCTGGTAAATGTTTCAGTGTTTTAAATTAGGGTTCTTTACATTTTGGTAGTCAATTCTGATGGAAGTCTTTGACACAAGTTGAGAACTTGGTTTTTGCCCCCTTTTGATGGGAATTTTGCAGGCATGTTAATAAAAAGTACCAGAGTGGCACTGTATTTTTCACACCAGAATAGAAGCTATGTCACTGCAATAACGTATGATATTGGCTTGTCATGTGAAATTTGCAGAAACCTAACATATATTTTTTCTTACCACTTTTTCCAATTAGTCATTCCACCGACTTCGGCACAGCCAACTACTACTAGAGAGGTAGTGATAACTAGCACGGAAGTTATAACCACAGTTATCATCACAACTCCTGAGGAAACAACTACTGAGGTTACAACGACACCCTACGTAACAACAGTGACACAAATCTGTGAGGTAAATCTACCACCCGATCCGACTACCCACCGCTACTTATAAGTGAGGCCTGTGCAGCAAAATAGCCTGCAAGAACTGTGATGGTAATACATGATTGTATCATGCAATACAGTGGCAGGCACACTCGTAAGTGAGGCTAGTCAGCGTCAAGAAAATTTGCAAGCAGAAGGCTCGGAGAAGCCTCAGTTATAAGTTTGCCCACTGTATTGCATCATACGTTAAACATTATCATCCCAGTTAGAGCATGGCTATTTTGCTGCACAGGCCTCACTTATAAGTAGCAGCGCGTAGTCGGATAGGGTGCATCTACACTATTCCATGGTTTGCTATAGTGAGTATTCGATTTGAATTTTCTGAAGCAAGCTCTTTTACTATTGATTTTATTTTTGCTACTGGAGTGACATGGCAGTACGCCAGGTCAGAACCAGAGGATTGTAAATTTGGATATTAAAACATGAAGTCCACATTTTTTTCATCGAGCCCTATAGTTGGCCCTTTTTTGTGTGAAAGACAACTCCAGTAACTTTATCATATCGTATATCACACTGTGGTACGTTGGCTTTTACCTTTGATCTTTTCAATAACCATATTTCAACTTTGCGGTGAAATTTGATTGTTATAGAATCGTATATTCACCTGGCGGTGGTGCTAACCAGTGTTCTTGTTGTGTCTACGTTAAACAGGATCAGGAGAAAATCATACAACGGCATAAAGAAATTCACCAGTGTTGAATGTTGACGAATATCTGAACGCGTTTTTTTTTTTTAATTTATTTGTTTCTTTAGTCCGGATCAACAATGATTCCAAATGACTGCCAAACTTGTGTCTGTGAAAACAACACGTATTACTGCTACAAAGACTGCCACAAAGATTGCCCGCCGGTAAGTCAATATATGCTGCAGATACTTCTACATAACTACGTGACCCAGCACATTCTGTCCTGAAGAAGAGACTGCATAAGCAGAAATGGCAGGTCTTAATGAACTCAAAAATGTCATTCGACAAACACTTTTGATTTCATAATCCGTCACATTGCTGCTCGCATTATGTGAGAGAGACGCTCAGGTCAAAACACTTGATACTTGATACTAAATAGGGCACAGGTATACATATGTATCTCTTAACCTTAAAATATGTTTTTGCCCCTTTGAAAGTAAAGTAAAAAGCAACGGTATGTTCCAACTCTGTTGAAAGTAATTTTCATTCAAAGCTTGGTAATTACTGGGGAAGTAATCCAAGTTTTAGCAATTGAATTACCCATGATAAAAGCAAGCTAACCCGCCAAATGGTAATGTTGCAGGGAGAACAGCGCGTCGAATACGATAACACAGACAGGTGCTGCGAATGTGTACCAGTCACAAGTAGGTGTCAATATTATTTCATCCTTATAAAAATTTAAGGGATATCATTTGGAAGCCTAACTTGTTTGAATTTAAGTACAAATTGGAGCTAGCTATCAGAATCACACTCGTACCGATCAATAATGCTGTTTTTTCAAACCATTTTAATAGCAGCTACCTTTGCAATGAAAAGTTATGTACAATATGTTTATATAACGGGTTTTGCCCTTACCCAACGTATATATTAATAAACACTGTGTGCTCAGTGCTTGTCCGAGAGCTTTTGAAAAAAGTCACAAGCTTACTCGGATGGGACTCGAACCCACAACCTCCTGCTTACTAGTGCAGACGTCTCGACCACCGAGCTTGCCGGGTCGGCTGGCCGGTCCGAGTCAGGTGAAGCGGCGGGTACTGCGAACTATTTTCAAGATTTTTTTTTTCAAGATGTATTTTTTATATAAATTATATAAATTAACATTCCCCAACGCAAAAATACTTCTTGAAAATACAATATGTTTGATAAATTTTGTTTGTCCTCTTCTCAGCACCCGTCTCAACAACAGTGACAAGCCCAAGCACAACAGAAGGTTTGTAAATATCAAAACGTATCTTTGATTTTCTTAATCCTCATTACTCCAACAATTTTGGGGCCATTTCACAGTTGAGTGAAGGGGGAATAGATTTGGCACCCTCAGAACTTGTCTTTCAGACGCGCGATCTTCTTGGAACCGACATAGCTATACAGATATTTTTTATATCTACACCTACATCTGTGAAGTTTCAATTAAATCTACGAAACTTTTGCTTGCTCTATACATTTATAGTTTATAACCTCAAACGTGACAGCCCACGTGCATTAGCTTAATGGGAAAAGTTGCCATTTTGGCCAACTGGTCTGAGAAAATTGTCCTTTTGTGGAAAAGAGGTACATCTGATTTTCACAATTATGGTGTCAAAATGATTGAACTGCCGGTGCAAATCCATTTTCGTCCAGCTCTATCAGGCCTGAAGTAATTTTATCGTGGATTGGGCATTCTTCCGGTTGAAAAATCATATTCAGCATAATGTGAGATTTTTAACTTCTAGTCTGCAGGGATCCATATTATCATGATGATCAACCAACATGCTGCATGCATGTGGCGCAGTGTTCAGTGCCGCCAGAGTACTCAGGATCAGATTACTGCAATGCTTGCAAACCGCCCAAGGTTTTCAATGGCACTCACTGTGTCCCACCACTCGAGTGCCTCTGCTACGATGAAACTGGTTATCACAAGGTAGGACTGCGGCTGTAAAATTATACACGCCCTTTATCTTTCTCGTTTCTCTGAGTGTTATTTCAAATTCTCATGGATTGTTTCTCGAAGTCCATATCAACAAGAAATTGTGGGCCTTTGTGACGTTACCATTAAAGCAGTCACATATAAATCTTCCTGTTTCACATTGTTTTCTATATTAGTTTTTGAAATGGTCGGACTATATAGGGCCTATGAATAAGATAAAGTTCCTTGACATCACAATTATGCTTGACGGACTGTATAAGAGAAAATGGAACAATTTTGATGTTATTTTTCTCACATGAAAACCCAATTGTCAAGGCACTGTTTTTATTCTAAAAGATAGCTGTAGTTTTAAAGTTTGCGTTTGCTTTGTTCCCTGGCTGGATTTAAATCCCTCTTAGCCCTTCGATAAATGGGATGATCCAAATCAAGAATGCAGCGAGTGTGTCTGTTTCAACAATGCAATCTCCTGTTATCCAAAGATCTGCCCAACGGTGTCTTGCGAGGTCAGTGGGTTGTTCTAATTCTTCCATCAGAATGGCATGAAAATCGGTATCGTGAGAGGGACAGGCTGTTTTTATTCGTATGCCTTATGGACACACGGTACCCGAACACATAAATAAAGCACATTGTTATTGTAGACGCAAATTCGGCTTTGGGTTCAGGAGTCCTTCATGTCTTCTTTAAATTGTATTTTCTAAATATATTTTCTTTATCTTGTTTTCTTATTATTCGTTCATGTGTCGCAATATGAAATACCAAATAAACACAGTACCGTGTTAAAACTTTCCAGAAACGTATTACACAGTATATAGTGCATTCCATCACATGAAGAATTCACTATACTGTCGTTGTTTAAACTCACAAGCATTAATCGTTAATGTGCAAATCTCCTATATTTTTACAAAATGTAGCTACCTATTAACCTTTTGATCACAATAACTCAAAATATAAATGCAGGAAAGTCTTACAATAACTTGACAAACTTCAACCCTTCCTACTCCACCGTCATTATCAAAAATCAGGTTAAAGTTAAGTGTAAACATGTTAATGATTAAATATAATGCAGTGTTTTTGTGTGGAAATAACGCCTACCCAGAGGAATCCTGAACCCCCTGAAGAGAAACCAACAAAGGGCGGTCGTTGGGGAAGTGGAGGGATATTTATGTTGTTGTCTGACAGGCTGCACGTAATGGCGAATGTGCTGCTGTCACTAGCACATGTACTGAACTCATCGCGTATCGTACATTGTTTATGAACGAAACTTTCCACCAACCTCATTGTATATTATGGACATGCATAGCATGAGACTCACCGGCCAATGAGCGTGCGCCACCGCCTTGGGTGGCTAGCATAATTAGGGTCGTCGCAAGTTTTGTTTATCAGATAGCCTTGCTATGTAAAACACTGCTGTAAGAGACGATTGCCTTAGGGCCTAACACTTCGGGGACCGCGTTCCATAAAGCAGATTAGATTGCGCTTAATCTTTATTTAATGACTGACGGAAACGGTAATTGAATGCTTCAGCGTAAAGTCTACGGTGCCAGTGGATAAAGTTTTCTGGCATATTCCATTGGAAATGTCATACTTTTTTACGTTTCGGTCAAGTGTTGACGAGTGCATTTTTCGTCAAAGAAAAGTTTTTCCCTGCTTTTTCGGACAACTGCTATCACTTTTGTAGTGATGCCAATGATGCCAATAAGAGAGTACACCTTTTTTTATAATAGGATTTTCCGTATATTGAAAGAACATTTCCTTATACTGATATAATATATATATTCCACATATTTCCTTTATTTGGAAAGAATTTCTTGACGAGGGCTGCTCATGAGTTTATTGCTTACGCACTTCCACAGCAATGAATCCCAACAAATGTATCAAAATATTACCAATCCCACCATTTTTTGTGCATAAAGGCTGTTTTTATTCATATTCATATGCTACGGCATAAAGTCTACGTTGCCAGTGTACTTTTCCAAACCAAAATGGTAACTGGAACTGGATGTAGACAAACGGCAGTAACAAAATTCGGATAATTTTTTTTGGCCACATGTTTCCGCAGCATGGATGGAAGTCAATTAAGAAGACCATAAATCTTGTGTTGGATCATGTAAAACGGGTCTTCAAGAAGTATTCACCATGATACTATATTGCTTTCTTTTTAGAATCCCATTACTCCTGATGGCGAGTGCTGTCCTTATTGTCCAGGTAGGGATAGGTTTACACCAGTGGGAATAGAATGAAATCAAGAACAACATTTATAGTGTCGATTCTTTTTCTCACATGAAGGCTCGTGCTTTTTAACCTAGTGGTTTAAACATTCATCCAGCATTTGTCCATACCTTAAAGGTATTTAGTAACAAGGGATATGAAGCTATATGCTGTTCTGTTGCACAGTTTCTGAAAAAGTGTTTGCTTATTCACCAGCATGTTGGTCACCATAATAAGATTGTCTGTCAAATTGACCTTGGCTACATAATCAGCATGTCAATTGAATTAGCTGATTGCAGTAATTGACAAATCAACTTTCTTACTCGTTTTTGCAGTATCGACGACACCTGTACATACCACACCTGTTCAGACTACAGTGTTTCCAGGATGCTACGTTCAGGAGCTGGATAAATATATTGGGGTGTGAATCAAGTATTATCATTTTTAATGTAAACACCATATTAATTCAAACAAAAGTTGTTTGACAAAGTCAGTAATCTTTCTTGTGACTGTTGTTTCTTTACAAAGGCATCATAGTATTAGGCAGATAAGACTCGAAAGACATATCTCACATTCCTTCAAAAATTTAAGTCTCTTTGTCTACATTATTTGTTTCAGCTGAACGAAGAAGTTTATCGCGGCGATTGTGAAGTATGCTACTGCAAACCTGATGGTTTGGACTGTCAAAGGGGACACTGTAACATCGAAAACTGTACTGACGTATGTTTATTAAATATATTTTAATTATTCGCTTGCTCATGTCAATTTTTATACCAGTTTAAAGAGTCTCAGTGTCCATGTTTTCTAATGTTTTCTTGAATACTCCTTTGGAAATTTGATACTTCTCTTCTTTGTGTGAAAATTATATTACCTCCCTATTCGGTTACGTGTTGACGAGTGCATTTTTCGTCTAAAGGAAAGATTCTTCGCGTTTTTTTCGGAGAAGTGCAATCACTTCTGCGGCGATACCGGTCGGAGAGGACATCATATTTTTTAATAGCAGGGTTTTCTTTATATTGATAGAATATTTCTTTATATTGATAAAATATATATGTTCTATATATTTTCTTCATATTGAAAGAATTTCTTAGAAAGGGTTGCTCATTAGTTTATTGCTGATGCACTTTCACAGCAATGAATCACCAAAGAACATGACATTTATCAAAATATCACCAATTACACCATTTCTTTCATGCACAAAAGTAAGCTTAATGTTCGGAGCTTTGCTCGTGAAAATGAAATATTGTTACCATGAAAGCAAAAATGCACCGAAAATCGGCTTTGAAAATAGCAATTTAAAAAGTATTGTCAATTCAGGCACAAAGGTTCATTTTCAAGAGTTTGTTAAAAATAAATTACATAGGCCTAGACTCCTTTAAAATTATGCTGCAAAAATTTACTGTCGGGCTGCCTCGTTGTCACATGCAAATGCCACAGGATTTTTAAGGGTGGAAGGGTTAAAATAAGGTAGATGCCAAAGAAATTGAAGAATGTGATTTAAAGGTTCCTCCCGAAAAGGCTGAATAACGCCATGCTTATCCTTTTCTTCTTTGCTAATCGAAGAATTCAGATTGCAGTATGGGAAGTCCAAACGGTCGTAGAATCATTCTGCATGCATCCATATAAAATTGCTTTCTACAGTAAAGGTTGGGAAATCGTCCTGTCCCGGCCTCTTCAAGTCTGTTTCTAAAGGTCTCAATGTAGTGTTTGTGCCTTTGATAACAGAATTACTACCTTCATTTAACTGATGACTGTTGTGAATGCCGACCATTACCAACAGTAACGCCAACCATGACCTCCCCAGGTAAATGCCATACGTTTTTTTTTTGGTGGGCCCGCCAAATATGTGGCCTAGAGAGGAGTGAAACTTGATAATGTCACTGAGAAATAAGCACAACAAACATGAGTTGTTTGTTAATATCAATACCCTTCTTTTGTCGAGAATAATCTCGTAAGGTATTTATTTGCACAGAATTCTAATTGCCGCATCTGCTTTCACTTCCATGGCTTTGTTCAGCATTAGCGAAGAATACCGAAAAGTAAATAAGAAACTTCTTCATTGTGTGCAGTGCTCAACCGTAAATCTCGTATTCAGTGCTTTAAGTTGTGCAGTTAGCACATACATAAAACTGACCCTGCTAGAAGTAATCATGTAAAGTGTCTTCCTTGTGATTATTTTAAGTGTGCTTCGAGCCTTACGTGTACCGAGAGCAGTGCAGTTGTGTGCGGACATGCGCCGATTTGGGCCTCAACTGTACTTCTCAGGGTTGCCAGTACGAATGTGTTTGTCCCGCTGGATTGGTCGAGAAGACACCGGGTGAGTGTGTCAACAAAACCGACTGCCCATGTGTGGACAACCAAGGGAGTAGCCACGAGGTGAGATGAAATACTATCTGTTCTAATATAAAACAAATCGCAACCAGTTTTTTATTCAAATGCCGTCAAAGTAAGTATCCAGTCAATCTCGGACATGATGAGTGTCTCTCTCGACACTGGCGTGACTGACAGTCCTCAGAGATTTTAATCTTTACATCCCTGTGGCCTAACATAGTTTTACTTCAAAGTATAAGGACCAGTTTATCCTTTAAGCGAACACGGAGGCAAATTCACCGATTGGGACGTTTTCATTGGCAGCAGAATTAGGTTGCGTAGAAAATTTTTGCACAAATATTTGGTCACTGCCGCGATCGTCTCCTTGGCATGTATAAACCAGCCTCAAGCATGGGATACCTTTTTCCGTCAGAAAAAGGATATATGCATGCCAACCTCTATTCCAGGCAATTATCCGGTCGAAATTTCACTTTGGAACTACATGTACCTGTTAAAGTGAAAGAACTTAATTTTTGAGTGTTTTTTCTCCGCGTTAATAACAATGAAGTGCCTCATCTACATTAACAATGGGATGCTACAATAGCCATAATACCATTTCTAAAGTGTTGGTACTTTCAGTCTTGAAAAATTAAGACACGTCCCCAGAGTAATCAGCCTCCTTCCTCGCTTGCTTGATACTCCTCCAGAACATACTGAATCTTGTGTATGGATTTTTTGCTTGCAAACAAATGGACTTTTTTCGTTTCCCCATTATAGAACGGAGACGAATGGATCGAGAGCTCTTGCATCAATTGTACGTGCATCAACAGGGAAATACGTTGCCAAAAACGGTGTGACTTGACTTGCCAACCAGATGAAGTGCTAGTAAATCCAGAAAATGATACCTGCTGCTACTGTACACCAAGTACGTTCGGTGTTAAATTTTTGAAACACGTTATCCTTAGAGATCAATTTATTTACTCATTAAAGTAGCTATTTCAAATGATTGTGCTGAGCTTAGAATTTCAGTTTCAGAAATCACAAAGACACACAGAAATTGATACACCTGTAAAATGCTCAAAAGGATTTTATACAAAACAGGAGGAATGCAATGTCGTTACGTTTTCCAGCATTTAAATCGGAGAGCACATTACTGACTAATTTAGCAAGCACTAATTCTTTCACGGGTATTTTCGCATTCATGTACAGATTAAAATACCACACATTCTATAGCTGGTATGAGAAACGCAGCGCCAATAGTTCAGACTGATGTTATAATGAAAATCTTTTATATCCAACCTTTGAGTTGCATTATTGATTTATCCTCAGATAGATCGGTTGTGATAGCATTCTCTTTGAAAACTTCATTTGAAATATTGCAAGCCTATCAGTGTGATCTTTTTCCCTGTTTAGAGTGTATCGGGTGTTATTATGAATTGGACGGGAGCTGCCATAAGGTAATCAATACCACTTCAAGTATTGTTTTCCACGCTGTTTATTCTTGTCTGACATACACGGCATTTGACTCGGAATGAGTGCGGAATGAGTCTCAATAAAAAAAAAAAAAGAATGAACATGTGTATTATATACAAGCCAGCTCTTTTCTCTCCAGGGGCATTTTTGGTGTTCCGTTGTGCCACCTCTTTAGTTGCTACTGGTTTAATTTTCTGAAACCGTCCTATTGCACTGCACATAGTTCTACATTTGTATCAACTTTGTACCTGTGTTTCACTCGTGGTTATAGTATGTAGAAAACAAAATAAAGGACAGATTTTTCGTTATATGTACAATTCGCTGCACATAAGTTGGATACAAAGACAAACCCTCTCCATCGCTTTCCATCCAAAGGTGAACGAAACTTGGCATGACGAATGCAACCAATGCTCGTGTAAGCAGAGGCCGAATGAGCTGTATCTCAAGTGTATTCAAATCGATTGCGGAGAACTTGTCTGCCCAGAGGTGCGTACATTTCTCAGGAATTATTTTCTGTTGCGTGTAACAGGATGCTGGCTAGTTCAGGTTGGCCGTTCAAAACAGATTGCAAGGACAGGTCCCAGAAATAGGTCAACAATAATTAGGATATTTTGATTCTGAAGTGCCAAAATGCAGCCACCCTTATACGGTACATTTTACTCAAAAGATGCGGACGGGTGTCGACAAAAAACAACGCTCACGTATACTTGTAGTGTCTGGATTTCGAAGTGCACTCCATGACACACAGTTGGTGGATGGGTTGGCTACTTCTGCATAAAGCGCAGGCCTCTTTCATTTATTCGAATCTCAGCCCCTAGAGTTGTTTGTCGGTTCTGTGTCTCCCGTGCATCGATGGTTTTTCTATATCTGCAAAAGTCCACACTGTGGGCTTATTACCACTTGCTACGCTGCTCGGTGGAGCAAGGTTATATTGTCAATAGCAATTGTTATCTTATTTATTATTTGTTCATTGCAAATTACCTCCAAACTGACAGTTTTCACCACACGTTTTTTTTTCCATTTTGTACCTGTAGGGATACAAGATAGTCCACGATGAGGGCGATTGCTGTCCAAAGTGTGTCCCAGATATTTGTCCGGGGGAACATATGTGTAACTCCAGCTACTGTGTCCCTATTGTGTGGGTGTGTGATGGGAAAGAGGACTGCCCCGATGGAAGTGACGAAGAGAATTGTGGTATGTTCATTGTATCTGAATTAAGGCCATTGATTCACAGCAGACAGACAAAATCACATTTACCACGGAAAGTTTTAGTTTGGTTGTTCTAAAATGTATCTTTCAACAACAATGACCTCCTTCACCCCCTTCACTTACGTTCTAGTCGTTCAAAAGAAAGTTCTTCGACTATGCATCAACGGCCTTAGATCGTGTAGAAAACATTTTTTAAAATCAGACATAGGGGGGCTCAGTATTGGATATTGTAACGGGCTCAATTTGAACATGGTCCTGAAACATAGGTTTCTATTGGAATCGACCCGTGCTGTGTACGTTAAACGTGTTTACTTTGTGGTGCAAAATATTGTACTTCGTAGGGCCATGAAGTGAATCGCAAAGTGGCGTCGTTTTCACGGTTGCAAATTTTTGGATTACGTTTACATTGAAAAGTGCTTTCCTCATGCTAATGAATGTTTATCTCAATACAGCAACCACCACACCTCCCCCTTCTACCACGACAGAGATTTCCTCTACAACACGCAGTAAGTTCACTAGTGAAAGATTTTGCTTGAAGAAATACTGTAAAAACACGGTATCAAGAAGGCATTTTATAATTGGAACCATTACCTTCAGCAGAAGACATTGGGATCGAAAGAGACATTTTAATGTCTCTCTAGCGCCACAAGCTTTCTGTTCCTTTGCAAAATTTAGATTAATGAGATTCTAATAATGAGGAGAGAAAGACGTTTCAATAGATTTTACTGACGGTTGACAAATTCTGGCTCATCATACTTTGCGCACTAGTCTTCTAACAGTAGCAAGTTATTATGCTGGAAGTCATTTACACACATTGCCCGAGGGATTTCTCCATCCTTTATGAATAGGAGAAATTTTAAAATTCTGATTACAATTACTACATAAATCAAAGCAGTGGATTTCTCAACCACTTTTGCGGGGGAGGCTACTGCATCTTTTCTGCATGTAGCTTTTGATCAAGCAGATATTCTGCGCGTTAGTGAGAAGGCAACAAGCCGGTTTTGATGTAACTTTGAAGGCGTAGATGTTTAAAGTGTACAGACTCCCCTTTCTCACCTCACAATAGTCCACTGGCTTACAAGTCAGTTTATAGTTGAATGCACAGCCAAAATTTGCCCCGCACTTAATCAAGCTTTGCTGATGCCGTCTGTTTCATAGGTCCTTTTAAATTCAGCAATCCAATAAAAAAAATGACCTGGACCTTCCCATTCTACATGATGAACAGTGTTTTGCTCAAAACCGTTTGTTCACGTCTCTTTTGAGGACTTAGACCCCTCCCTATTCCCTTTCGACTTGGGAATAGGTCTGGATGATGTGCGAAATTGATTAATATTGTATTTTTTTTACCTTTAGGAGCAACGCCGCCGCCACCCAGTTTAAGTAAGAAACTCATTTCATTTGATAACAGATAATAGCCTAGAGCCTAAAATTTCGCAAGGGTATTGCACACAAGGATCAGATACTTTATTTGTTGATTTGAAATATCAGATTTGGGCTTTTGAGTGTAGCGCCGCAAAACGTATTTCTTTACACTGTCATTCCTTGTTCCGTCACTTTAATATTTTGTAGCATCGAGTTTCTTCTTTCAAATCATGAATAATTAATCTATCCTTAATTAAATTAGACAATATCTTTAAAAGTATTCCCCTACGTTAGAAATACATCTGTTTGCAGCGTAATTATCGATGAAATGTACTAATATATTAATCAAAGCACGAACACACAAACGTAATATTGACGAGAAGAGGCCATTTTTGCAAACAGTATCACAGATGCGATTTTAAAATCTAATCTTGCAAACTTAGTTGATGGCTCAGAAAGGTCTAGCACTGATTGCCAAATATTTATGTAATGGCAGATTGCCCTCCTGGACTAGCAAAAGCTAATTGCTCCCTTGACTGCCGAGAGCGCGCGTGCATAGATGGAAAGTGCTACAAGCTTCATTACGTCGATGATCCCTTCAGTGTCGCCCAAACGTGCTGTGAGTGCCGTCCTGGATTGGTGTATAATGGTACTACATGCGTCCCGCCAAAGGAATGCAAATGTCTGGATGAAAGCGGTGAACTGAGGGAGGTGAGGAACTTTGAGTTTCTGAAGTGTTCAGTTTTATTTATATTTTTTATTTGGACAGTTTGTTTGTTTATCACCTCAGATATTGCATGTATATGTTTTGGTTTTGCTCAATTTGACATTGGACGTCAATGTAATGCGACGTCAGTTTTTTCTTTTATTTGAGAGCAATGGGGTCATGGAGTTAAAATGTAAGAGGTCGAGATGATCCAAACGTATTCTGCTGTTAAAGTGCCTTGAATTCCCTCCTATAATCAAACATATGCTTTGCCAAGTTTCGTACTGCTTAAGACATCAGAGACAAATTGCCAAGCGTTGATTAAGAGACGCCACAGAACCTTAGAGGTGTTGTCACAGTATTGGATAAATTAAGATAACACCCATGACAACCATAAAAGCTGGGCTGCTCTCGGTGCGTTTGCGCACTGGTGTGCTCAGGTATAACGCTACTGCTAATTTGTTTTCCCTTGAGCCTTTGCCGTGGACGCACTCAAGCCCAAAGCGTCTCTGCTTATTTGCGCAGTTACCCCTCTTTGATATTAAATTTCTGGTTACAGCTTTGGCATTAGTACGCGTACGCCACAATGTATGGCCGTAGGCGAAGTCATGGCAATTTTCGGAGGGGACTTAGCATAACATAACTCGAGGCAAATAATCTTCATCTAACATCTTTTGTATTTTCATTGTTAACATCCAACTCGTGCACAGAGTCTATTGCGATAATTTAAAAAGTATTTCACGGCAAGGCTCTTAACTTCGCGTAATCCTTGATTTTCTCTACTGCTTGTGATCCCCGTGAAATGCAAGCGGAAAATCGCAAGCTTCGTGCCTGCAAATTGAGCTCAGTCAGTTGGCTGGTTGGTCAGTAGGTCAGTCGGTCAGTCAGTCAACATTGATTTCCATAATGCTGGAAGATTCCAATACAATACAACAGAATAAATTAAATAAACATGTGGTTTATGTAATTATAGGCATATCAAGTGAAGGAAAAAAAAATTAAAGGTCGACGCAGGCCCTATGGAGGGTTTAGCTAAGTGCTACGGTTTCTGTCCGTCTTTTTTCAAGGATACTGAAATTTCTTTAAAATATATATCTAAATATTCCTACCCTCCAATTCGTCAATGTTTTCACGATGGGACAGGGATGTCAAAATGAAATTTTGTTTTTTTCGATATTCTTTACATTGTATCTAACCATTTTGAAATGCTCCCGTAAGCAAAACATTTTAAATAAGGCCTAAATTAATAATGCCAAGGGCATTTTGCGTTTGTTTTTGAAGAAACATGAACATGACTGCCCTTTGAACACATACAAAAATATTGTCCTGAAAGGCACAAAAGATGGTCGATGACTGGTTTATCGTTTTCTCGAAAGGACGGCTATCGTTGTACTTTCTCAACTGTGTGCGCGTAAGCATACGTGCCTCTCCCGCATAGAAATACACGTAAAAACACACCCAGAACAGACAATTTTCTTTTTAAAACCATTTTGTTCCTTTATAGATCTATTAAAAACCTTACATATCAGGCCCGAAGCAGATAATAATATTATAAATAATAACATTATTTAAAAATTCGTGCCAAGTCACAGACATCAGAAGGCGTTGTACAATGAAAAATTCACAAGTTAGCCCAGAAAAAATAAAACCATCAATAAGTTTGTAGAAATGAATGTGTAAAAAATGAGTTTTTAATTTGTTTTTAAGTTTAAAATTTTAAAGCAATTGATATGAAATTGCTGCTGGTAGCCTATTCCACAGACGGGGACCACTTGTTGTGAATGATCAATTTCCCTATTATTTACAGTAGTTTTGCTAAACGGCTACTGCACACAAACTACACCAAAGATTGTCAAGCTCAGAGTGTGTGTCCTTGACCTCACACCGATAACCTGCTCGTATTCCCCCTAAAATATTGTACACAAGATGTGCGATTTAAAATTCGAAACTCTTATGAACAGGAAGTCTTTAATATTGGGATAACATGCTCACATATTTCCTCCTTGTGACAAGGTGTGTAGCCGAATTATAAGCTGTAATTGTGTTGAAAAAAATATCATATAACGAAGATCACTTTCCAATTGTCTTTTTTCTCTGAGACAGCCTGAAGAGGAATGGAACAGCAGTAATGATTGTGAAAAATGCAGATGCAAGTTCAACAATATCACGTGCTACCCCGACACTACCTCTCCAGGTTGCCGGGCGACTACCGCAGTACCTACAACCACAAGTACAAACATTGCTATGTTGAAGCTTAGAATATGTTGTCAATTTCAAAATCTTTCCATATATAACTTGTGCCCCCCCAAAAAAGTGCAAATAAAATGGAATTTATCAAAACAGGGTTACTCTCCATCCCCAGCATGTTTCATTACATAGCACCGTCAGCATCTCCGTTGAAATCTCCTTTTTTAACATCACTTGGGTTCCTGATACATCTAGCGTATGATTTGCAAGTTCAAAACACATTCATTAATTATGAAGAGAGATTAATCGATGCAAAGTACACCTGCCCCAGAGTGACAATAGTTTAAGTAATGGAGTGTATGGAGTGTCAGGGTTAGGTAGTGGGGTGTCAGGGTTAGGTAGTGCCTTTAGTACGCGAGCCTGCCATGTCCGGCCACACCCTGGAAGAAACGGCGTGGCGGGCCGGCTAAACCAGGTGAGGGGAGCCTATAGTTGTGAAACCCTCGATAAGTTTCTGGGTTTGTCAGCCCTACTACAGTGAAGTCTGTCTGTCGGTGGAACGGGTGGAGGAGATCCTTATTTGATCAAATGGCTGTGAAGGCGGTACCAGCAAGTGCTGTGGAGCGCATCATGGCATGGACGTGAAGTTCTGGCCATCTACTGCAGCCTGGAAGTCTTCGGCTGTAACGGTTTCCAGTGATATTGGATCAGTGGAATAACCCCAGTGAAGCGATTCTCCTACTGTGAAATTTTTCTGCACAGGTCTGTCATGGAAATCCATCAATTCATGACCGATCTGTCACACTTTTACAAGACCTGTGGCGATGGGCACGTGGCGAAGCAACAGGTGGCGGTGACAACTGGAAGTTGTAGTCACAAGCCTGCAAATAGGCGGCTGTTGGGCCAGTGGTCGTTCTGCCTCATGAACCTAGGGCAACAGGACAGTCTGTCAGCCTCTTTAGGACACCATCCAAAAAAGGTGCCTCAAAGAAATGCTTGCCCTTCAAGTCATCCACTAGCAGCCGAATAAGCAAAAGCAAAGCCCCAAAACAGAAAAAAACCCAACAACTCCTGAGATCTTAGAATGTTTGGACATTACTAGAGTGGGACAACACCACCAGACCCGAACGCCTTCGTAACCAGGGAACTTCAGCGTTACCGCGTGGAAACATACACGGGTCGCTAATTGAGGCTCACTCCAAGAAGAAGGTGGAGGTGACACGTTCTTCTGGAAAGGAATTGCTCAAGCTGAAGACAGGAAACACGACGTAGGGTTTGCCCATCAGGACATCACTGCTCAAAAGCATTTATGCACTCCCCGTTGGGATTAGTGAACGCTTCGTGAATGTAAGGGTCCACCTGAGCAAGACCAGATACCTCACCATCGTAAGTGCTTACGCACCTACGCTCACAAGCCCAGATGAATCATCAAAACAACTCCTTCAAATGAAAAGCTTGTCATCCTCAGCGATTTCAACGCTCGAGTAGGGAGAGGCCATGACAGCTTGAACGGAGTGCTCGGGAGATGAGTTGGAAAGCTTAGTGCCAATGGCCTGCGCATTCCCAGTAAATGCGCGGAACACAGACTCTGTATCGCCAACACCTTGTTTAGGATGGCAGACAACTACAAGACAACCCGGATGCACCCTAGGTCGACACACTGGCACATGATAGACTTTATCACTGTACGCCAACAAGACGTCAAAGATGTTCGGGTGACTCGTGCCATTAGAGGTGCTGAGTGCTGGACCGACCATAGACTGGTCAGGGCTGTCATGACATTACGCATCCCCCCCGCCGAACATAAACCGGCCCAAGACAATCAGAGCCTCCTACAACACAGCCGGTGTGGACATGATTTTGACCGTGAGACGGTTCCAAACAAAATGCATCTAGCACAAAAATGCCTTTCTAAACAGTCTTCATCGACCCCACCTAGGCTTTTGACACGGTCAATAGGAAAACACTTTGGACAGCGCATCTGTTCCCCACAAATGTTTGTGAAGATGATTCAGCTCCTTCCAGATGACATGACCGAATATGTACTCTCTGGAAGAGATGAGATAAAAGCTTTCAAGATTATCAACGGCGTGAAGCAGGGCTTTGTCCTGTCTCCGGTCCTCTTCAACATCTTCAAATGTACGCTGTCACACGCAGTTCAGAGGCCGGAGAAAGGAGTGTACATCGGCTATCGTCTGGATAGCTCTGTCTTCGAAAAAAGTCACACGTCGGCCCCTAAATTTATAAAATATTCCAAATTGGTCTTGTGATTAAGTTAGAACTGCGCAAAATTTAGAAATGTTCATGCTTACAGGGTATACGTCTGGATATCAGAAAACATTAGCTAAAACATCGCTATTAAGCAAAGAATGTGCTCTTCATATTTAAATACCATACAGTTTTTGAATGGACAGTATTTGCTGACACCATTTTTGAGATGTAAGATGAACGCATTACTTGATATTTAATCTTGATCATTTACACACTCCTAATCGAAAATTAGAAAAAGACAAAAAAAACAAACAAACTTTCAGCAAGATATCATTACCGATAATTTCATCGTAAATCATTTCACAGCTACGAGGACCACAGCTATTTCCACAACTGAAGGCGAAGTAACTACAGTCACTACAGAAGTTGTAACAACCGTAACCCCGGGTAAAGTAGCGTTATATTTTCCCAGCAAATTTTCCCCGCCAGTGGGCTCCATTGTTTCTCCTGCCTAATTTTCAGTAACACTCTGCGAACAAGTAGAGGATCTTAAAAAGGTTGGAAAAAAAGCAAACATAAAGTAATTAATACCAAACAATCGGATGTAATTTGGAGCAACCAACTCGAAACCCATATGAAGTATTATTGTATTAATATAAATGCATGCCGTAAATCCTTTTATATTTCAATGCTTCAGTGTACTGCTACGATGACATGGACAGTATTTCTGATTTGACTGTTTCTCGGTTTGACTCCAACAACCCTTCGGATATACTTCCACCCGATGAGCCTTTTACATCTACTGGAGAATTTGGTCCTAAGTTGATTATAGCGTTCTCCGAACCTACTCGGATAAACCAGCTGGAGTTTACAACCAGCTCGGGGAATCCCTTGCTAGTTAAAGTGGGAGTGACGTTTGGTTCGAACCCCGATGAGGTGGATTTGTATTTGTTTGCTGGACGGCCTAAATTGGTGAATTCCGGGGAAAGACTTGATATACCAGTGGAGCCAGAGGTGACCAATGTGCGTTCCATCAAGATAATATTCCANGAACTCAGACTCGCAAACTGTCAAGGTGTTCGGATGCGCTGAAAAGGGTATGTGCACGTAACCTTCACTTACAGAAAATAACGAATAAACCCTTTGTCTCAAAAAAGTATCTGGAGAACTGTTTTTGGAGAATGTTTGAGGTAAATGTTTCGCTCGTCAAAGTCTGTCGAAAGAACTGAAAAGAGACGTTATACATCTGTCCCACTTTTCACCCATTTCTGTGAATACAGCGTGTCTTACCATTTCACCTAATTCTGCTGCTTGAAGCTTTAATTCTATTATCAGGACTCGCCTGCGGCCCGGGCATTAGTCGCGTCCAGTCTCCTGAGCCAGACTTTAAACCAATCAGAATCGACTAAATTGTCGCGTATCCAGGCACCAGTGCGGGATTTAAGCAGTGGACATAATCACTTCTCAGGGGGCAAATGTTAATACATGGTCAAGTTTCACGTTGTGGAATAGGGAAACTGTACTGTAAAGGGTATTTATGAACTAAGCTTTTATATTGACGTTATAATTTACCTGTATTCTTTGTTTCAGTTTCAACGACTGTTTCTACTGCAACAGTTCCAACAACAAGCCCTGAAATTACAACAGTGACGAGTGAGTAAATGCTTCAACGGCGGATCTGAACGATTACCAATCTTGTTCGTTCTGTAGGGTGGTGTGCGCAGAATAGAGTGATAAAACAGTTTTCGGATGAGATGTCTCTAGGGTACTTCAGACATATTGGGTATAAAACGATAGACAAACTCTCCGACCTTTTCTTGCCAAGTAACATGAGAAAATTACTGTTTCATTACAGCTAGTTTGTGAAGTAATTTCGAGGTCGGTTTTTGCACTTGAAATAATACACTCTGTTTTTCATGTTAAAAGATATGGGGTGCCACTGAAGTGTGCGGAACAGTGGGAAAGATATTCCTTTCGTCACTTTATTCTTTTCAGCGAATAATTTTGACGACTGTTTTTCTCCACAGGGCCTGTCTGTGGTCCGAAGTGTGAGTGTGACGTGAATTGCTACAACGTCATCATAGATCCTAACTGCCCGCCAGATATTCCAGATAACTGTCAAGGTTGCTTCTGCCTCGAGGGTACGCATAGAGTAGGTGGCTACTGCGCCCGTCCCCCACCTCGAGGAACATGCATTTCAACACCAACAACAGAGACAACGCGTCCACCCAGCACGACTTCAGTACCGCCATCAACAACACAGCCACCAACTACCACTATTAGCAGCACTACACACGGTGAGTCCTAACCTATTATACGACCCAGCTGAAGCAAACTCACAGGCATCAAAGATTAGAATTTGGAGGGTGTGAGCTTTACTCATTCAGCAAGGTCAACAGCAGCAAAAAGTAACCTCAGAAATACAAGTCAACAGAGGGCGGTCTTGTTAAAAGTTTGCTTGCACAAAATTGTGAAGTGTTGAGAAGGGAAGGGTGCACCCTTACAAATAAATTCCCATAGACAGCAGTGTTAAATGTCCTCTTCGTTTTCCTTGAATGCTTAGTGGGTCGACGAATAATTTTTTGAGAAATTCTCTCCCAAAGCAGACCACGCCTAAATGCAAGAAATTTCACTGCCCGGGAAAGTAGCCATTTTGAAAATGCATCTCTCTCCAAAATGGCACAAACAGTGCCACTTTCAGACCCGATTGCATCCAAATTGCTCAGAATTGGAAGCCATGGGTCCGGCCCAGAGGTTCAGTGTCATATTTCTTTGATTCCCCAGTTCCTTGGCTCTCAGGATCCTCTAATATAGAATGTTTTGAGCGTATAACTTTTATTAATGAGCTAGGCGGACATACTTCTGGTCTTAATACAAGGGTGAACCCGGAAGGTACACGTTACTTTTACTATTAGAAGTTGAGTGGACCGTCCCAGACGGGTTATTAATAATATCTGCCTATGTGTCACCTTAAATCTGCTCAAACGTCACACGAATAGTGCCCTCCAGAAGATACTCCACTGCACTCAGCTTTACCCAGTAATCTTAGGAAGCATTCTTTGTGACAGGTTCAATCTGCTTAGTGTAACTCACACGAACGGCACATTTGTTGCATCCGACAACACAGTAATTGTCCGATAATACCGATCTATAATGTATTAAAATCGACCAAGAAAAGTTCCAGCTGATAATGTAGTAAAAATCGACGCCTAAAGTAATAACCCCTACGACCAATAATGTAATGAAAATGGTAGATGGTGTAATAACCAAAGGCTGACCGATATCACAGGAACAAAGAGACCAGTAATGACAAAATCTAACTAGATTTGTCTTTTTTTGGGGGGGGGTTGCGAATTCTACGTAGTTGAATGCATATTTTTTTCAGTCTTGGCACAACTTTGTTTGTTTTCTTTAAAAAAGAAGAAAACTTGGACTAAATACTTGGAGCCTTGATCGAAATGGGCAAAAACAACTTTGGCGCTATTGTGACGACGTCACAAATTTTCAATTACCAACAAGAACCTAGCAATTTTTTTTCTGTCGTGTTTAAAAGCCTTGTTACCAAAATGTGTGCACAAGGAAGGGCACGTCCATACAACAATTGCGCCTGATGCATCGCGGGTACCGATTAGATGGAGGGTATGTACAAGTATGGGTGTCTATTTATTGGAATGCCCTTTAAAAGCATTTAGTAGGAAAGTTGGTCGTGCGCAGGCAAAATAAAGGGAATGGACCACTAAGGGATAACTTACAAGAAGAAATTTCAAAACTTTCTTTTGTGTACCGCTGGATTACCTAAGGGTGTGTCATGTGACACAGAATCGTTTTAACGTAAGGTTTGTACTTTCATGACGTACACATTCCTGCCTAAAATGCACATGGTTTCAATCTGAATGGCTGTGGAACATTCTAGGTACACGCACGTAAAGAGTGCACTTTCAGATTTTTCATTATTATATCGTTACTTCTAGTTTTGCTAAATATACATCCACTGCTGGAATGTACTTGCTTTCAGTGTGAAAAACAAATAAGGAATTAAATAAAAGGTATTAAACGTGCTAATGTCAGCGCGACGATTAAAGTAATACGTGCACCTTGGGATAAGCACTTAGCCAACGGTTGCACTTGTGGACTGGAGTCACTTGACTTGGACTGGAGTCGCTATTTTGTGATTCGAGACTTCACTTCTATCTTTTTTTCTTATTTCTGATCAGTGGCGACGCAACTCGGTGTCATGTGGGTGCAAATGCTCCCACTGTAAAGCCGTTTGCACCCACTTTTGCACCTACAAAACCTTTGTCACTATTACGACGGGGCAATAAACCTTTTCCTTTTAAGACTCCACATCATAAACCACGAAAAATGAAGGATCGTTTGCACCCAAGCGATTTTGCCTTGCCCCACACTTGCACCGGCAGCCACCGAGGTCTGGCACCTCCACTGCTTGTGACCTTACTCGGACTTGCTCATTACGACTTGTTAACCAGGCAAGTCAGAGGACTACTACCTCCATGATCGAACCCATACAAATTTGATGAAATTAGGCCTATCAACTAATGCCTTGCGTTCTTAAAATAATCAGCTTAAAGGCTGGTTCATACTCCGGGCGGAAGCAAAAACGAACGTGAATTTGTGACGTGAGGGCACATAGGCCTTTTAGGCTCGCTACTTCCAATTCAATTTTGTCTGCCAAAGGCCACGTCTAAATCATTTAGCTGTGGCATTAATCCACTCATCGTGCAACTTGACTCGTTCTTGGACAAAAAGACCTGGGACTCGCTTGTGTTTCGACCAAATTGACTTGTGACTCGACTTGACGTGACTTGACATTCTGGTCACGCAATTTGTGACTTAATTAACTTGTGACTGGACCCAATGACATGTGATTTTGCTTAGACTTTCAACAATTGAATTCCGACTTGACTTGGACTTGCAAAAATTGTTTTGCTACCACTTCTGGCATTAAAGTCTATGCCAGGACGGTTACAACACTAAACAGGTAGGGTCAGCTGTGAAAACTCAATTAAAAGCTAAGTGCCCCCCCATTTAAATATTCATTCTTTTTCAGTTGATTTTTATAACATAATTGATCATTATTAAATTATTGGTAGAGTTTTTGAGATGATTGCTCGATATTACATTATTAGTTGAGTACGGCAATACAGGTAGTAACACCACTCTGTTTACTACATCATGCTTTGCCATTGAAGTATTTATTTTACTGCAGTTTACTGACCCTGATTTATTTCTTCGTGTACAGTTTAAATTACTGTAGGGAGAGTGTTGCGAGACAAGTTTTGGAAGAAACATTCCTGAGATACACTAAACTGTGGTAGACGTGAAATAAGAAGTAAAATACACGACATGAGATCAAAGCTACTTGCAGACCTATTTTTAAAAAAATATTATTCGACATTTGGATTTCAGAACTGTGTGGATCAGTTGCAAAATGAAGAGAAACACCAAGTTCGTTGTTTTTCTTTTTGATTATGACAAAATTTTCTTCTTCAGGGACAACACGAGCACCTTCAACAACAAAAGTACCAAGCACGACTTTTGCCCCACCGTCAACAACACGAGCACCAAGCACGACTGTTGCACCACCTTCAACAACACGAGCACCAAGTACGACTGTTGCACCACCATCAACAACACGAGCACCAAGTACAACCATTCCACCGCCGTCAACAACACGAGCACCAAGCACAACTCTCGCACCGTCAACAACACGAGCACCTAGCACCACTATTCCACCATTGTCGACAACTCGAGCACCAAGCACGACTATTCCACCACTATCAACGACACTTGCACCTACTACCACTGTTGCAAGCACCACCGAAGGTGAAAACAAATCTCTTGTTTGACCCTGTGCACTCAAATTCACAGGTGTCAGAAATTAAAATTTGGAGGGTGTGACTGAGACATGACAAGCTTTACATAATACAACAGAGTCAACCGCAGCAAAAAGCATCATCAGGAGTACATGTCAACAGGGGGCGCTTGTTTGAAATTCGATAGCACAGCATTTTGGATGTTTAACGTATACCTAACATAATCCGTGGCTATTTGGTTTTTTCTGTTGTTTTTACTTACTGAAAACATCACCAACATCGTTTGCACCTGTTGAACATATAGGCTAGATCCTCTTTTTATCTATTTGAAAACAAAAATGGTTCAGCCTGTTTCCACATAGAAACGTAAAATACCTCTCTGAACAAATTGTGCTCAAATCAACAGAGGTTTAAGAAAAATCTGCAAACTTATCAAGGAAAGATGATGTAATGTTTCAAATGAAGAGGTTCCTATAAAGAGTGTGATTTTTAATTGTATATTTTCATCATCACAGTGTACTGCTACGATGACATGGACAGTATTTCTGACTTGACTGTTTCTCGGTTTGACTCCAACAACCCTTCGGATATACTTCCACCCGATGAGCCTTTTACATCTACTGGAGAATTTGGTCCTAAGTTGATTATAGCGTTCTCCGAA